AGTCTCCAGGAATAATTCCTAAGTTTAGAGCCAAAACAAGAAGTTATCAGTTTGCACAGAACTACATCGTAAACTGCTTGGAGATCTCGGGGTATGTGTTTGAAGCTTATGGCACTATGTAAGAATCATCTAGCTACCACTTCCAGCTTTAAGTATCCTTTAACTTACCTTTGTCATATTCATTCTTCAACGGTGGAAATTTTATTCCTAAGCAGTGCTCAAAAGTTCCGGATATCCTATAGGTAATTCTTAGACAAATGGGTGGTATTTAATGCAAGTGTGATAAGATGTAATTTTGCTTGTGTAATGTGGTGCTAGGGATTACCTAGTCAATCCTGGAGGTATTGCATGTATTCATCTAGTGGTGCTTATGGGACCATATGGCTCTGGGTTCTGAGAAAGGAAGCTGGGATGGGCAAGCTATACCTGTGTCCTAACCACAATACTATTTTCTGGCCCCAGACGTCTTCATTTTGATGCAAATTTCTTTCCCTATTGGTCTGTGCTTTAGTATTGTTTACTTTTGTTTTTGCTATTTCAACTTTTGTTTTGAAAGGAATCAAACTTTTATAGTATACAATGAAGAAAATCTTCTTTTTCTTGTTTTTGTTTTGCTTTGTTTTGACATGGCAGTGCTCAGGGGTTACTCCTGACTCTGCACTCAGGAGTCACTCCTGGCTGTCTTAGGGGACCAGATGGGATGCTGGGCATGGAACCCAGGTTGGTCACATACAACTACTCTCTATTGCTCTGGCCCCTAATGAGAAATTTGAATAAAAATGTCTTGAAATTAAAGTTTATTAAAATTTCAAACAGTTGATATTTAACATTTATTAAAAATTATAAAACTATATAAAATCATAAAAACAAATCAAGTTTTTTCTAGCACAATTTCCCCAATACAATAGTAATTACATGAAAATGTGTTAGCTTTTTTTATCTGTCTTACAGACTATCACAAACCATGTCTACTCTTCTATATACCATTTTGCAGGTGAAAGTTCTTCCAGGGGGCTTGACCAAATTTCACTCAGGGTTACATAGGCTCAAATTAAGGTTTAAGCCAGGCATTGCTCTTTTCTAGATAATTCTGAGTTATCAATGTATTTCCAAGTTTGGTACAGTTATTGGCAGAACACAATTTTTTTATAGTTTGTGGACTGAGACCCAGTTTGCTGTCAGCCAAGGATCTCCCTATGCTTCTAGTAGTCCCCTCATTTTCTGTCACATGCTTCCCTCCATCATTATGCAGCAACTAAGCAGCACAAACTTCTTTCACAGGACATTTCTCTGGGTTTCTCTATAGCAGCCAGAGAAAACTCTCTGTTGATAGTCTGCAGTATGGGTTAGGGCCACCCAGACTTATCTCCCTTTTGCCATAGAAAGATAATAATAAGAAGAGGTATCTTGCCATCTTGTCATATTCACAGCTTTCATCCATGTTTAGGGATGAGGAAAACTGATAAGAGCAAAAGTCACTTGTAATATTGCTTGGATTTCTTCCCAATCTCGTGGCAAATATGATATTCAACATTTGTAGTAAACCCACAATTAATCAAATCAAGAGCATTGCAGTCTCCCCAAGGGGGGTTACTTTAGGCCTATGATAATAGAATTACAGAGCTCTGAAATATTTGTCAATGCATCATCTTTGTTCAGTTTTTCCTTCTTTAGTTACTAATAAGTTTCACTTTTCAGGTCATCTTTTTAATTATCTTTGTCTGTAATCCTCCCATATTTCAACATCACTTTTAACTACTAGAAACTTGCAAATTTTGCAAGAATTGCAATACAATTTTGCAACCTATTTGTATGTGCTTTGATACTAAAATTTGTTGCTTATTATCTAATTTTCACCAAGGCAGTACACGACAGAATGGAACTAAATGTCTGCTTCCAGGCATTGCAGTATCCAAAATGTGCAGAAAACACAAATATTCACATTACATTCCAGATCCACTGAATCAGCAACTCAGTTTTTAAATGTTTTTAGTTAATTTTTTGAAAATTAAATCACAGTGAGATACAAAGTTACAAAGCTGTTTATGATTGGGTTTCAGTCATCTAATGTTCCAACACCTGTAGCAGTGCACATTTCCCACCACCAATGTCCAAAGTTTCTAGCTCCCCCTGCTGCCCCACCACCTCCCTCTACAGTAGACACCTCTCTCTCTCTCTCTCTCTCTCTCTCTCTCTCCTGCTCTCTCTCGTTTTGGGCATTATGGCTTGCAATACAGATACTGAAAGTTATAATGTATATCCCTTACCTACCTTAAACACTCATTTCTTGTCCAGAGTGATCCTTTCTATTATTGTCATACTGGTCACTTCACTATCCTAACTGCTCTTCTCTAGCCACATACTTGTGGCAAAATTCCAACCACTGACCAGACCTCATGACCCCTGTTTTCCCTGGTATTAGTCTCATACCATTTTTTTTTATGTTCCACAAATGGGTGCACTAAGTCTACATCTATCCTTCTCTTTCTGACTCATTTCACCCAAGTTCGATTCCTCCCCCTCTCTGGAGAGCCTGGCAAGCTACCGAGAGTATCTCGCCCGCACGGCAGAGCCTGGCAAGCTACCCGTGATGTATTCGATATGCCAGACACAGTAACAATGAGTCTCATGATGGAGACGTTACTGGGCCCGCTCGAGCAAATCGATGAACAACGGGAGGACTGTGACCGTGATGATATTCTTCATGTCCATCCATTTAAAAGCAAATGGCATGACTTCATCTTTCCTAACAGCTTCATAGTATTCCATTGTATAGATGTACCATAGTTTTTCTATCCAATGCCCATATTTTTTCCCAAAAGGGTTGGACCAGTTGGCATTCCCACCAGTAATAAAGGAGAGTCCCTTACTCCCCACACCCGTGCCAGCAATGGTTGCTCTTGTTATTTTTGATGTGTGCTATGCTCTGTGGTGTGAGATGATATCTCATTGTTGTTTTGATTTGCATCTCCCTGATGATTAGTGACATAGAACATTTTTTCATGTGCTTTTTGGCCATTTGGATATCTTTGTTGAGGAAGTTCCTGTTAATTTCTTCTCCCCATTTTTTGATGGGGTTGTATTTTTTTTCTTGCAAAGTTCTACCAGTGCCTGATATACACATACATATGCATACACATACACACACACTTATATCCCCTTATCCTATGGGTATTGGATAAATAATTTTTCCCATTCTATGGGCTTACTTTGTATCTTGGTCATCACTTTTTTTTGGTACAGAAGTTACTTAGTTTAATCCATAAGGTACATGGAGGAAAACATAAGCAAAACTCTCCATGACACTGAATCTAAATACATCTTCAAAGATGAAACAGTACTGCCCAAGCAAGTGGAAGTGAAGATTACGTTAAACTACAAATCAGGAACTCTGAGGATGAAGCCCAGAAATACATTTTAACAGTCCCTCCAGGTGATTGTGATACATGTGGTCAGGTAATAAATATTTTCCTATCATGGGTCCAGAGAAAGAGTTTAGGATATAGGGTGCTTGCCTTGAACATGACTGATCTGAGTTCAAGCTCCAGCTTCCCATTTGGTACCTGAGACTGCCAGGAATTATTCCTGAGTACAGAGCAGGAGTGACCCCTGGGCACCACCAATGTGGCCCAAACAACCAATATTTGCTCATATTTATACTCTGCCAAGATTCTTGCTGTCTTTTACATACAGTCATCTATTTAATTCTGCAATGTGGTCACAGTAGACATGATAATCAACTTTAAAAAGGAAACAGCCAAATGAGATTAAGAGATGTGGGGTCAAAAAATGTGGGATCTTATGATTGAGGTAGGAATAGAATTCAGATCTTCAAAGACCATGTGCTCTATACTATGCATAGTGGATTCCTGATAGCCAAGAAAATGGAACAACCTGGACATTTTGTTGTAATACAATAACCAATTTATTTTAATTTAGACTATCTGGTGCCATTTAGTTCATTAAGAAAATCAAGGACTTTACTTCCTTGAATGTGCTGCAACATAGATATGCTTTTTATAAGTTGGTTTATTGAAGCTATATGTATGTCACATGAAAATGTATTTAAAGTCAAGTTAATTTCAGAGATTAGGGAATATGACCTTTTTATTTTTAAGTTTTTGTTAGCATGTGTGAAACAATAAGGTTGTTGATAGATTTAAGAAAAACAGAAAAGTCCTGTAATGAATTTAATCAGTGCCTGCCTTTTTATGTCTTTTACGCTTTTGCAGGCTTGGAAGATACATCTTGAACATGCTTTGAACATGCTCTGAACATTTTGGGGGTCACAACTTCCTTTGTATTAAAAATGAGTTCCATAAAATTATAAAAGAGTTCAAAGAGAAAATTATTTTAATGGAAAAATAGATAATCTAAGTATTTGAATACAGAAATAAAATAAAGTTGAAAGACTGTTCTGCAAAAGTCACATAAAACAGATATTTAAATATCACACAGATGATAAATGAGTTTATGGTAGCACTGTAGCACTGTCCTCCCATTGTTCATCGATTTGCTCAAGTGGGCACCAGTAATGTCTTACAACAAATTGTGAGACTTGTTGTTACAGTTTTTGGCATATCAAATACACCATGGGTAGCTTGCCAGGCTCTGCCCTGCGGGCAAGATACTCTCAGTAGTTTGCTGGGCTCTCCGAGAGGGGTGGAGGAATTTAACCCAGGTCGGCCATGTGCAAGGCGTAGGCCCTACTTGCTGTGCTATCACTCCAGACTGAGTTTATGGTAAATTGCTATATTATATTGATTGGAAAGAGATAACTGATAGCAATGCGGTGAATGAACAAAGTGGGCTAAAACTGTGAGGAGAATTTCACTCTACAGAAAAAAATAAATGAAAAATGCAATAAAAACAATTACAAATTCAATTTACTTTCTCTTATCTGCTTTACAGATCCCAGGGCAAAAGCGCCAAAAGTTAAATTTGCTCTCACAAGTATATATTTCACAGGACATTACCTTTTTAAAGAAAGTACTACTTACCAGTTACTCGAAGTTTATCAGTGCCAACTACCACTTCCTTTTCATCAACAGTAAACAGGGCCTTGCCATCCTTGGAGTTAATCTGAAATTGTTGACTCTGGACTTCTACCATTTTGGGACCTGAAGAATTGATTAGAGCAATTTATTATAAGTTGTTTACTACAAACAATGCCAAGTTCTCTATTTTGACATATTTTGTCAAATGGTAATACCAAATTGTAAACATTTAGAATTTCTACCTATAATATTTTTTATTTCATAGCTAAACTTTCTTTTCCTTTTTGGCCATTTGATGTTTAGGGCTTACTTCTGGCTCTGTGTTTAGGGATTACTCCTGGTAGTACTCAGGGGACCCTATGTTGTACCAGGAATTGAACCCAGGTGGACCGAATGCAAGGCTGGTACCTAACCCACTGTATTATTTCTCTGGCTGCATAACTAAACATTTCAGAGCTCTAAACCTAAGTCTCTATTATTACTATTAATTCTTGTCAAATGTATGCTCATTATAATGAATAAATATATGAGGAAATTCTTTAAAAGTTTAATTTTGCATAGTTTAAAATATTGTACCAAATAATCTAATTCTTCTGCTCAGATGGTTTAAATTGGTATCAACCAAGGATTTTGTTTGTTTGGTTTTGGTTTTTGGGTGACACCTAGTAGTGCTTAGGCTCTACTAGGTGTCATCCCTGGCTCTGTGTAGGGGACCAGGAGCCATATGTGATGCAGGGGATTTTAACCAGTGCCTGCTGCATACAAGGCAAATGTTTTTCTCACTGTACTACCTCTCCAATCTCCAGCTAATGAATATGCTAAGAAATGTAAGATTTGTGAGTCAGCATTTATCAATGACTCACTTTAACTGTATAAGTTAATTAAGAAAATAAACTATACTCAGTTGCTTTTATCTGTACTGTTCCTTGGAAGAGGTTCTCACCTCTTACCTGAGAAACAAAATACAGATCATTAGAGGAAAACATCATTAGGGGAAAATATAGCTTTTTGTTTCTTCACTCTTGTCTTTCTGTCTTATAGATAGGAGTCACTATCCTATACAGGATCCATGTGAGCTATAGATTCCAGTGGTGACCTATAGATTCAGATTATCAAATCATTACTCAATTTAGCAAATGTTTGATGGTTGCTGTATATTGGAAACTGGGAATACTTAAAAACAGAGATAGCCTACACTGACTGTCTGAGAACTTATTCAGATTATCTCATTGGTACTCTTGGGTATTCATCATTTTATATTTCATGATTTCTTATGAGGCATCAAATCTTTCCAACCCTAAAGTATAATAGAGTAATCACCCTAGATCACAGCATACAGATCTACAAGTGTCCTTGCAGTTTGTTACAATCAGATTCATTCAGGTAAGTTATGTTTTTATCTGGAAAGTTAAGTTTACTAAGAAAATGGACATCTTATGGTTTTGGCATACATATCCCACACAATACCCATTAAAGCTGAGGGGTTTCCTGTTGAAAATTAAATAAATTAAGCTCTCAATTAATTGTTTTCCAGGCAGTCATCAAAATATTCTTATTTCATTAATTTGTACCTCAAAAGCTTCAATTGACTCATTTAAACGTGTTTAAACTCATTCAACTATAACTAGGATTTATTTCTCCCACCCCACCACTATTGGATAACATTGGTCAGTCCTTTCTCCTTCAAGGAGAAAGGAGTCCAGGGTTATTGAATAAAAGCAAGGAGTTTAGGTTTACTGAGAAACACCCATCACAATGCTCCCAAAGCACTCCCATTTCCTTGATATTGGCATTCATCTTTAACCTCTCCTCTGTGCTCTGCTTCTGCTAGCTATCTATTAATCACTTATTTCCTCCTAATTAGAATCTATGACTTGTAAAGTCAGATTCTTCAGAAATCTCTGGATTTTGTATATGCAAGTGAAATATTGCTTTCCTCTTTCCTTTTTGTCCTTTGCAGTTTACTTTAGAGCAATGTCCTTTTTGTATAGACACAGGAAGACAGTCAATGCTATGCTTTTGTAACTTCAAAGTTAATTGATTCCGAATAACGTTTACTCCTGAGGTCACTTAAGCCTCAGTTTACCTTTTTTTCCCAACAACCCCAAAGCAGGGTCCCAATGAAGAAACTTGGATGGACTTAGGACAAGCTGTGAGTTACCCTGGCCAAGGGACAGGCCAAGTACCATAAAACTTATAGTAAGTTAAGAATATGGTCATGGAAAAATTCCATCATGACCCAAAGAGAAGTGACTTGACAAGGACCCTGCAGAGATTAGGAAAGACTAATCAGGCCTGAGGACTGTAGTCTGGGATATATAGTGAGATGTCCACAGGAGAGCCATTCTATAAGCTTAAGTGTCTCTTACTGTGTCCATACAAAATGACTAGAACGATTATTAAGAAGTAAATTTAAGATGATTATTTATGGACTAAGGAAATGAGAAGTAGGCCCTTAGATCCTTGAGCAGATCTTCTAGCAGGATGAACTCTTTGTTTTAGAAGAGCTTCCCTGGAAAGAAGGGCTTTACTTATGTTGATTGTGCTATCTCACCTATGTGTATTGACTACCCCAACCCTTGGTGACTGTTCTCTATAACTAGGCTGTGAGATGGTGAGAGAGAGACAGGAACATGAGATAGAGAGAGACTAGCACAGGGAAAGTAGGAGTGGAGGAATATTGGCAATGAGTGAGAATGGAAGGAGGCAGAGGAAGACTAGATTGGAATAAATGGCAATTGATCACCAACAAGTCTGGCCCCTATTTCCTCCTTCTTTTGATTGATAATTGGCATTGGCCATCCGAGGTGAGGAAAGTGGCTCCAGACCACGGAAAGCACATAGCAGGAGGGTGTCCACAAACTCGTTTGTGAACACACATCACCATTTCAACTTCTTTCTCTTTTTAATTAACAAATAAAACACAAGAAAGATAACATTCATCTTTTTCTTTGAACCTATTTCCCCCCATTTTCCAACCTGACCACCTTCACTTTTTCCTCTCTGGTAACCTCAGCTTGCTGTTAATATCCACTGATATATTTTAAATTTTTGCTAGTAAGTTTTACTTTTTTATGTTTAATACAAAATCATTCAATACTGGTCTTTGTTCTTCTGCTCCATACAATCATCTACTAGAACATATTGTCACAGTAAAGGCTAAGAGGGAAGTTCAAGGGCCAGAACAAGAATACAGCAAGTGGGGTATTTGCCTTACACGTGACCAACCAGGGTTCTACACCTGGCAATCATGTGGTTCCCCAAATACTACCAGGAGTAATTTCTGAAGGCAGAGACAGGAGTAAACCCTGAATGTTGCTAGGTGTAACCCCAAATAGAACAAAACAAAAAACAAAACAAAAATATAAAAAAGAGGGGGAAGTCCTTATCAATACAGCGTCACATCAGGAAATAAAAGAACTTCTAAATAAACAACTTCACACTTTAAGGAAACAGAAATAGAAGAAATGAAACCTGAAGCCAGTAAAAGAAAGAAATTGTTAAAATCAGAACATAATGAAATAGAAATTAGTACGATAATACAGAAGACCAACAAAGCCAAAGTTTGATTTAAAAATAAATTGGAATAACCATGATTCCAATATTGTTCATGATAGGGCATACAACAGTTTCAACACCATGTCTTCCCCAGAGTGTTCCCCTTCCCTCCACCATTGTTTCAGAATCCTTCTCAACCACCTCCTGCACCCAACCTCCTCTGCTCCTGGTAAGTCCAGTTATCTAAACAAGTCCCTAGGTTCTAGTGTCCAAAACTGTTTTTTTTAAGGATAAACAAGATTTACAATTCTTGGTAAGGCTCAAAAAGAAAAAAAAACAACAACCCTAATAATTAGCATCAATAATAAAGGGAAGAATTCAGAGGAGATACTGTAGAGATACAATTAAGAAACTACTGTGGAGAATTTTATTCCACTGAAGTGAAGAACATAACAGAAATGGATGAACTTAACAATGAGATATCACCTCACACCAGAAAGACTGACAGACACTCATCAAAATGAACAACAGCGACAACCAGTTTTGGAGAGATGTGGGGGGGGGGGGCGGAGAAAGAGACTCTGGTGGGAATGTTAACTGGTTCAGCCTTTTATGGAAAACAATATGGACATTACTCAAAAAACTAGAAATTGAGCTTCCCTATGACTCATCCTTACCACCCCTGGAAATATATCCTAAGGGCCCAAGAGTGCAATGTAGGAAAGACATCTTGACTCCTATGTTCAATGCAGCACTGTTCACAATAGCAAATTATGGAAACAACCCAACGTCCAAGAACAAATGATTGTATAAAGAAAGTACAGTACATATGCACAATGGAATGTTACTTGGCTTTAAGAAAAAATGAAGTCATTCAATTTGCTTCTACACAGATACATGGAGAGTATCATGCTGAGTGAAGTTAGTCAGAGGCAGAGGCACAAACACAGAATAATCTCTCTCATAAATGATATATGTGGGATATATCAAATGTCCAAAGGCAATAGAAATGAAGAACAGAACTGTCTTCAATAGGAAGCTTGCCACTGGGATTAGGGTGGGGGGGCCAAATCAGGGAATGGAACATTAGGACAATGGGGAAGGGGAAAAGTGTCTGCCACAGAGGCTGCGGGTCTGAAGGGAAACTGAAGACATTAGTGGAGGGTAGTGGACACTGATAAAGGATTGTTGTTGGAACAATATATGCCTAAAACTTAATCATAAAATCTCTGTAACTTTGTAATTCAAGACTATTCAGTAAAAAAAATTAAAAAGAAGCTTCCAGAATTTGATAAGGATAAAATACTACACATCAAATAGCAAAATATGTAAAATTAGATAGCAATTTAAATTTATTAAAAAATTGTATTTAAACACCAGGTTTTACAAAGTTATTTATCATGCAGTTATTTCAGGTGTGCAATGTTCTAAAACTACCAGTGTGGCCTTCCCTCCACCAACATCCCCAGTTTCCTGCCTACCACCCATATGTGCCCCCTTCAGCAGGCACAAAAAATTTGCTTCATATTGCTTTTTACAACAAATAGCAAATCGAATTATCAGAAAACAGATGGACAAAAGTGAAATTGTGATCATTGTTATATTGCAAATGAGAGAAATGAGTC